GGGGGGGTCTGTTTGATGTGAGGGGAATAAAAACTGTTGTTCTTCTGAGATATGTCTGCAGTGAGCATGGTGCTGGGGGGTTGACAGGGGGGCTAGGGTGTCCATGGGTGGCTGTCCAAGTGGGCTACAGTGGGGAATGCAGGAGGAGCTGGTTGATCAGTGCCTCTTGCATCCGATGCCTTGTCCCCTGGGGGCAGGTGTGCAGCTTGCCCAGGGCCTTGGCCAGGGCCTTGACTGGTGGGCAGGGCATCGCTGTCACCTCTATTGCAGCTGGTGCTCCCGTTGCCAGCTGGCGCTCCTTCTGCCTGCTGTACCTCCTCCACACAAGCCTCATGAAACAGCTTCCCCTAGGATTCACAGATGTTATGCAGCACACATTGTTATGCAGCACACAGTGAAATGCCCACATACCAGAAGCTGGTGGGTATGGCCAGCTTGAGCAGGGTGAAGGCCAGCCAAGTGTCTGCAGGGATGGGCAGTTGCATCGTGGTGTCCTGCCACTCCAGGTGCAGCTGGAGCTGCTCCAGGAGGTCCTGGAAGGTGGTTCAGGTCATTCAGAACATCTTCAGTGACTGCTTGTTATCCCAGGTCTGCTGGACAATGTGCAGCCACCAGTGCTGGCTGGCCTGGTGGGCCCAGAGGCGGTGAGGCTGGAGGCCCAGGAGGGTGAGAGCATCTCTGGTGGGATCCAGTCAGCTAAATGGGATCCAGATGGCAGGTACACAGCAGCAGCAGCCCGAGGATGGCATGCTGCAGCTGGGAAGATTGTTGCTGTGTGTGGGGGAGCCAAAAGGGCCCAGATGGCTGTGGGCCAGCTGGCAGTCAGTGCAGCGGGCCCACAGGTGACCAGCAGGAGCCCAGGGCACTGCTTGCCAGTGCCAGGGGAAGGGGCTGGAGCAGCCATGGGGTGGGGAGGCAAAGGCAGTTAGGAGAGACCTGCTGTGTGCTGCCCTTGCACTGTGCATGTTGTCCCTAGACAGCAAGGTGGCTGGCCTGGGAGCAGACCATAGGTCTGGCTTTCAAAGATGGCTGCTAGCAACTGCAGCCAGAGCTTTGATCTCCCTCTGGTGGTGGCTGATGTCCATTGCAGGGCTGTAGTCAGTGGCAGCAGTTTGCTGCTATGAGCAGCAAAGCTGCTGCCACATCCCTGCATGTGTAAATGCCTGCTTGGGAGTGTTTATTCATTAGTAGTTTACTTGCAAGTAAACTGATCAAGGATGAAATGCATGTGTAAATGTGCCCATTGAATATCATTGCAGAGATGGCAGGGTAGCGGGCGAGGTGGATATCAATTGTAATGTAGACCTTCTGGACTCTAATTCCATGTCCAACAGGCAGGAAAGGGGAGAGCAGGCAGCTATGATTGTATCCTGGGAGGGAAGAGAGGCTTTAACCTGGAATTTAGCATATGGCATTTGGAATAGAAAATTTTGCCTTCAGCTCTTCTTCGCTCTGGGCCTGATCCAGGTCCTGTACAAGATAAGTGAAAGAAAGCCAATGGATTATGCATGAACGTTGAAATGACAAACATGGATGCTAATGTTCTCCTTCATGCTGCTGTACACATCTTGAAACTTAATTTTTAAAATATTTTCTGTTTAAATTGACCACTACTTTACCTGTTGTCTCTTTTTTGCCAATTCCTGATCAGAGAGGAGAAATGGACTTAGAACCTCTAATTTTGCATACTTGTAGTAGGAGCGTTTATCTTTGAAAGTAAACATTTTGTTCTGCCAAACCAAATTATCTTAGCATTCTCAACTGTTTTTGGTGTTGGCATGGGAACAAGGATAGTAAGATTTTCCCCCTCACAGAATTTTGCAAGGAAAAGAAGATCCTGTCTACTTCTTACCCCAACCACAAAAAAATCAGAAGTCCCACCAAAATCCTGAACCTAAAATACAACAAAAAAACCATATTGTGTTTATCTGCTTCCAAAATTCATGATTTCTTTTAGTAACATGAGAACTATAACTTCCCACCCAAACAAAAACAATAATATAGTCAATTCTCTCAATCGCAAGACTCCAAGATCTGGTACTTTAAGAAAAATATAAAATACAGTATTTTGGCAACACAGGAAAGCCAGGATAGCTTATATAGCCTTTGGAACATGCAGGACCCTCTGTCCCTATCTTCATGGTAAATATTATATCAGGATACAGTCTTTCACTTTTGCTCTATATAATACCTACCAAACAATTCAGCCTTAACTTTTACATAATGAAACAAAAACTAAAAAGCTAGATATTTTAAACTATTGCTTTTATTATAATTACACTGGAGCACAAATAAATAAGCACTAAATTATTGTAAAGTATTGTCAATGCACTAAATAAAGCAGGATTGATATCCAAACAACATCTTATTACTTCAGAAGTATCAAAGTACATATAATTACAGCTTACCTAAAAAAATCAAGTACAAAAATGAACAGAAAATTAATATGTATTTATACTGTGTATACAGAAATGGCTAGTAATATATGATTACAGTTATGCTCTAGCTACGCCTTACTCCTACACAACTTCAGGCACATACCTGACATTTCTAATGAAACATGAATAAAAAGCAAGATGACATTCAGTTTTAAGATATTGGTAAACATTACATTGGAATGGACACAGAATGATTTCTTCTCATTTAAAAACCCTGTCATTTAAAAACATAGTGCCATTGTCCACTAGAAAAAAAACATACTATTTTATACCATTTGCTTTAAATTTGTGAAAAAGAGCAATAAAATAAACATACATTTGCTAATATACGTAAACACATTTTTAGTGCAAGAATAACAAGACCTGTGACTTTACTGTGCTTTCTGGAAATCACAGTGCACTTTACACAAATTGCTACACTATAATGTTTAACTTTTAGGAGTTTAAAGCAAAGTAAGTGCATACCAAACAATTTCAAGACTATATACAGCCTTCACATGTGTGTGTGTATATGTGACCTGTATGTACATACAGATTGCATATTTATATAAACTACAATTTTAAGGACCATGTGTTGTCATTCACCCTGTGATACATAGAAACTGTTGAGACAACAGGTGATATAGAAAATGTTTAGACAGCATTATGATGGCACATTCTCTGCAGTGGCAATGTACCTTTTACTCAAATGATGGTGCAGCCAACTGGTCAGAGTACAGGACCGGGGCCTACTCCTAACTCCAGTTTTGAGTGACTTCTTGAGAAGTCACTCAAGCTCTCTGCTTCAGTTTCATCCTCTATACAATAGAATCTGTCCTTCCTCACACAGGTGTGAGGTTTCATTTATGTTTCTAAAGTGCTTTGAAGATAAGTGCTAAGTCATATTTTAATTTTAAATGTTGTGGCAGCAATAATAATTATAAGCCATTGTTTCCATAGGATACAATAGTGGTTTGGAAGCACATGGGCTATTTTTGGGACAATGTGCCTGGTGCTGAACTATAGAAGCAAACTAGTAAGTGGCTTTTATAATAGTTTAAATGTCAAACAAATCTGTTCACAACTAGAATGTTTCAATTCCCTGATATTATTCCTATCATGTATCATACGAAAAGGATACAGTACTCAATGGTTCAAGCAGTTTTCTACAAATCAGTTTGTACCCTGCCTCAAATTTGAAATTGCCATGTCTCTTACTGAGGTTTTTCATGATCTTCCCAGGCAAGAAATTCACGCGTGCATTAAAAAATTGTTCTTGGGGAAAGTTTACTATGTGAATACTTAGGTTAGGTTTTCAAATGAACTAATTGCTTCAGAAAGTGGCCAACATATAAAAAGAGTGTCACGACTGACAGAACAGTGTTCTGTCTCTAGCGAGATTCGGGGCAGTTTCTGAAAGGACCAAGTTATTTCATACAGGAATTTTTTTCTTTTGTCATATAATTACCTGTAATAAGGAAGATAATGCATTTCACTAGTATAAACTCTTTCTGAATTATGAACCTGTTATCTTAATATATTTTTTATTAGTACGTCAAGTCATTTCCAGCACATTCTGGAATTTGGCAAGATCTCTTAAGATTTCCTTCTAGCATTTTTTCTTTAAAAAAAATAAAAATAAACAGAATATATAGTTGGTGCATTTGGGACTCAAGAGTTCCTTAAAGATTCCACCACAACTTGTGGGCTTTATTTCTTCTGCCATTGGGGTTGTGAAGGTTTCTTTAAGTTTCTGTTTAAATTGTGCACACATTTCAGTCACTGTACACCCAGCACAAACGTACATTTTACATATATGCGTATAGATGTATGCACACATATATGCATGTGTATTTGTGTGTGTGTGTGTATAGATATATATCTATCTATATCTATAGATAGATAGATCTATATATATATATGTACATATACGTATACACACATATAGTAATGCTAATATACATACACCCATATAAACACACACATTTTATCTTATACAGAAATCCTCAATTTGGACATCAAAATATACATTAGTTAATTATTCATAAAATATTTAAAAACTTTATTATTATTATTTCAGAGGTTGGAAAGAAACTACTACTGATAAAGCATTACTCAAACTCTAACAATATAGATTACAAAAAAAACCTAGTAAAGTTTGTTATTTTTGGTTTTTTGATCAGCAGCTATGCCTGTGGCACTGCTGTCAATATGATTTCAAAGAAAAGCCAATATGACAATAAGTTTCAAACAATACATCTTTTCTTTTCAGAGAATATATTTAAATGATTGTTAAAGAAGAATTTTCATGCTGCCAAATTTCAGAAGCATAGATAAAATTTAAATATACAAAATATATGCCATAGTATTTTTCTCACTTCATGATGATACAGATTTTCCTTATTCTAAACAGTCCCTTTTGAAAGATATTTGAATACATAGGTCTCACCCTTATAAGCAGTATAAGCCATCTCTTTCTCCTGTTAAAACCAAGAGGTCATAAATCTTTGGTCATGATGTAATATCCTGTTGGGTGGGTGTGATACCACACAGGACACTGAGCCAATTTTATGATCAGCTAGGAATTGGCAATAGTTTACTTTCAATAGGGGCCTGATTCAAAGCCATGCAAAAATCTTTCCATGGGATTTGAGTCAGGCCTTTATTAAGAATAAACAGACTACATTACGGTTGTATTGAAAATGAAGAATTATGAAACCAGTTTTGTCTTTTTTTTTTTTTTGTCTAGACCAAAGACAAGTGTGGACAGGACTAATAGCTGAAATGCCACTTTTTAATCTGCTAAACAATTGTGTATTTCTTTATCATGACTTGTATAATGCTTAATCACAGTGAACCATGGTCTCCTCTAGTCACCTAAATAAAAGGAAGAAGAATGTTGGTTGTAGACATTTCTGCAGTAATTTTTTTTCCTTGGTTAGCCAAATAGAACTAATAATTATAACTGAAGATTTTAATTGCCAATTAACATAAATATGAGGGCAATTTATACGAGTAAACTTACCAAAATCTGATACAGAACAACTCTTTTTAATGCGTTTCGGACATCCACATTACACACTTTTATTCGTATTGTTTATGGTTTTACCACTGCCTGCCAAAGCCTTCATCCTCACTCCGAAAAAAAAAAGTGACATGTTTTTAGTGAATATGACTCTAATTAATGTCTACAGCCCTAGCACCAGGTTGATTTGTACATTGTACTGTTAAGCAAAAATGTATAACCACATGCTTTTGTACAGAGGCCAAATCTAGGCAAGTAAGATAATTAAAATGGGAGGAAAAAGAACACATAGAATATCACATAGAAAATAGTTAATAAAACAGTATAACAGTAATTATATTATATAGTAAAATTTTTCATAAATTTTTCATTTATATATATTTAAACAGTGTATTAGTTTGGGTGTATTCAATATACTGGCAAATATTTACATTTCAATATCTTCTGGATTCAAAAAAATCCTTGATAAATATGCATGCCTTAATCCAGTCAGAAACCAAGATTTCTTTTTTATTGACAGGTGAGCACCATACTAGTGTGCTTTTTCATAGGTGGTTCATAACCTGTAGGTAAGTCATTGTCTTATGAAAAAAGCAGACTATTTGTGCAGGTTGCAACACTGTGGAGATGGTATGCTCTATGCCCCTGTCATATTGCAGTGTCCCAGAAAACTGTTTGTTGTTTGGAATAAGGAGGGGGGCTGTATTTCTTGGTCCCAGTGTTCTTCTTCCAACTTGGCAAAATAGGCATGCTGTCCTGTTTGCAAAGTCCTTTCTCTGACTTCTGTCGAGCCTTTATTTCTTTGCACAGGCAACGCTTTTTCTCAATCATATCCAGCATTGTATGGTCTCCTTGCAACCACTGCATACATGTCACCTATCAAACAAAAATGCATACACATAATTGGTTAATAACAGGTTATTTTGGCTGTTTCTGAGAGTTGGTTCCTTGCAATTATCATGATAATGGTGGAACAGCATTGGTGTTTTAATGAATACAGTATCTTTTGCCACTAGAAGGCACATACACAAAATCTAATTTTAGTTACTATGCAAAGACAAAAAAAGAATAAATAGAGTCTTTTTTTAAAGCTTGCAAATGTAATTCAGGCAAACCACTTCTATTTGTTTCTGGTTATATTTTAACTGATATAGTAGATCTTAAAAAGGTGCATAGATCAATTGTGAAGGTAAAAACTCTATCTGCTCAAAACTGTTCTGCTTGCCAAAGCCAATATGTCACATTAAAACTATGGCGTCACAAGTTCCAAACATAAAGCTGAATGAGCTTCTTCTTTTTAATTTTTTGTATGATTTAATGAACCCAGTCCCAGTTACATGATTTAACCTATCTTATTCTAAAACACTATTTCATTCATTTAAAAGCATGGTCCACATTCATGCAGTATGTTGAAAACAATGGCCCTGATCCAGCAAAACTGTTAATCATGCACTTAGTTTTAAGCATGTGTGAGTTCCACTGAAATCAAGAAAAGCGGTTTTATTTGAGTTCAGTGGGATACCAACTTGATTAATGCTTAGCATGTTGTTAAGTGCTTTGGTGGATTGGGACCTAAACTGCTAATTTTCAAATGTGCTGGAAAATGATCAATGGATTTTGAACATGTGCTGTACATCTGCTTATGTGCGCAAATCAGGTAACTATATCTAGCAAAGCTGATTTGCATGGACAAAGTGTGTGCGCACGTGTGTGTCCAGATGTTTATTATGCCTATTCCTTCAGCTGCAGTTAATCTTGCATAAGTGTGGGGGGTTTTAATGTGTAAATATGTTGGCACAGTATTAGCAGAACTTTTAACCTTGCAATGAAAGTATAGTGATACAGTGTACAGTAATACAGAAGGTATACTTTTAGTTTCATGAATAAAAGTATTGTTTTTATTAACTTTATGCAAGTGAACAGAAAATATTGCAATCTATAGACATTCTTAATGTCTTTAGAACTGGAGCTAGCAGTTTAAAGAAATATGAGAGGGCTTAATCCCTACTGAAATCAATGAAGCTTTCCATTGACTTCAGTAGGCTTTGGAAGGTCTGCTGTCAATTGGAAAAATACTCAGGATAAATATAGAGAGGATGAAAAATAACTTTCACGTACTGCTCCTCCCCTGTATTCCCATACCAGGGAAAACAGAGAAAAAGCAGTAACAAACCAGAAATAATAATCATATACAAAGTGCTTTCAAACATACCGAGCAAATTGAACAAGGCAAAGAATCATATCTTTTTTATCTTCATGTCTCTTCCCACTAGGGTATTTTTAAGTATTGCTGTAACAGTGGCTACAACATTTCTGAAAAAAATATGTTCTTGGATAATGACACAAATGTTCTTCACTCTCTCTAATGTATAGGAGAGCACTTTGTGCAGCACTGACTTTGGAGGAGATGATGATAATGATATATTAGACATGAAATCTGTTATTTAACAACCTTATAAAGCTAGAATTAAGCACCTACCAGATGTACAACTGACTAAAATGACAAGTCTACTGTGAGTGTACTTTGCCTTCTAACTTTTATTCGAATACTTGGCTCTAACTTGCATCATTTGCTGCTTGTTGCTTTCATGAGGCAATCAAGTCAATAAAGAGTCTATTTCTGTCCATCTCCTTGATCCTGATCCCAAACTCATCAAATTCAATGGAGGGACATCCA